TTGGCATCTCATCTTGGGTGCAAGGTCATCAATGTTTGGGGTCAGGCTCTGAGCGGAGGAAATCCTCAGGATTGAGTGAAGGTGTGCGTGCAATATACCGGCGGGCCAGATCTAATAGTAATTAAAAATTATCCTGCGAGCCGAAACTAAATCCCCGGGCCTTGAGTTTGACACCCCTGCCTTAGACTCTATCCTACATTTCTCGTTTTCTTTGTGGTTAGACGGTAATGAGAGTGAACTGAATTCAAATCACGAGAAGAGGTAAACAAAACAAAAAGAGAGGGTACTTAGGGGGCTATTATACATACTGGTTTATTATTCTTAAACCCATAAAGCATATCTGTGATCTTCTTTTATATTTAAAAAGCGCTATTTTCATCAATTTACTTGAAAAAGATGCTCTATGAAGCGACTGTAGCTGCAGATGCATACACTTTGGGATGACCATAGGGGGTCCAAACTTTTTTCTCCGAGGGCCACAGAAAAATATAAGAAGGGCTGGGCCACTCACTAGAGGTAGGCTATATTGCCTCATAAGTTAAGTTGTAAGTTAGCAAAATCAATCAAATGTAGGTCGATTATGCTTAATACTTGAATATTCCTTAAGAAAAACCACAGCCTATCACAGCTGTCCATGCGGTTTCATTTGTTTTGTTGGCAGCTCATCCCTTAAAACAGAAGCCTCAGATTGCTTATCATAAGAGGAAATATGAAGGGTAGATTTCAAGCGTGTTAGATAAATAAGTCATTGGTCTTTTTTCTTATCAACTTAGATTTGATAGAAAATGTTTTCAACTTTGTTTGAAAAATGGGGCTTCTTAACACATGAATACTGTGTAATATCTGCTTTCATCTATATTTAAGAAGTACAATAACAAGACAAGCGGCTGTGGCTTAGTGGGATAGTGCGCTGAACTTGGTGTGCTGGACTTCGAATCAGGTGATAGCAAGTTCTAGTCCCACTGCAGTCAGCATGTCGTTGTGTCCCTGGGCAAGACACTTCACCCCAAATTGCTCCTGTGGAGATTGTCCACAGTACTGAATGTATGTACGTCGCTTTGGATAAAAGCGTCTAACAAATGACATGTAATGTAACAAGCACAAGTTTCATTTGTGGGCCATATTTCATTATACTTTTATAATTTGCTGAGGGCCAATTCAAAATGTAGTTTGGATACCACTGCATAGACTCACTTTATATATAAAGGGTATAACAGGGTGAGGCTCTGGGGCTGTGACGATGCTGACGTCATGCAGCAGGAGTGGGCGTGGTTAGAGCCTTGTGATTAGTTGTGATTGGGTTAGTTTCTTTGTCCGGGGGCGGGGATAGTTGTGGCCACACCCGCGACACAGAAAGTTCTAACCACGCCCACTCCAAATCCTGCTGGTTATGTGCAGGGTTTTCTGCAGGGTTTTTTGAATCACCTGGACCATATAAATTGTGGAGCATGTCAGTTCTTCTTCAGTTGAGCGGAGCTGAGGGAAGCTGCTGTATCTAAAACTCTCGTACTGTGATGCTTTTCAATGTGACTGAAGACATCCAAGGTAATGAATGGATATATTAAAGTTTAAAGTGGACTTATCATGCTATATTTGACAAATATATTGTAGGGCCATACCTATATAAAACATGTGTGTGAAGTTTTTTTTTCAAAATACCAAACAGATCATGCATTGTAGCCATGCCTCATTTCGCTCTATTTGCTCTTTTCCAGCCCTGTTTTTGCAGGGGCTGATTCTGTGACGTAGCTTTAATTCAAATGAGCTGCAGCTGACCACGCCCCCCTGCAGGAGAGGGGAGCATGCTCTGATCAGCTGCTGGGCTCTCAGAAGAGGGGGAGGAAAAGAGAGGCTCCGTCCTCCGTGTATTATTATTATATAGAGATCGTTATTCATTTGTTTTAAAGCTCAATAAATAACAAAGAAGACCTTTGACCGGTACTTTTCTAATTTTGTCCGGAAGATTTAAACTTTAACGGACATGTTGACCGGCGAAAACAAATCTAACTGAAACTCTGCCGCACGGTCCCCTCGTTCCTTGGAAGAGGCGGAGAGGTGGGTGTTTGTCATCTGCTGGTGGACTAACCGGAGAGAATTACAGCGAGGGAGGGATTGCATTGAATTACAGCAGCAGGAGCAAACGCCTGTGGGAGGGAGAAAAAGAGCCAGAGCGGAGAATAAACAGAAGGGCAACCATGGTAACCATGCGCGGGAAGTCTTCTTCGCTGCTTTTGTGGCAGACTACAGCGCCACTTACAGGCCTGGCATATGTACTCCAGCGTCTCCAGCACTTTCGAGCGGCAATGGCTGGCCGTGGCCCAACCCCCCATTCCCCTGATAGGTGGAGAGTTGCCCATATAGGCGGAGCTCCCCGTTTCTGACGTCAGAACAATTTCAAATCTGTTTCAGCTCTGTTGCAGCCCCGTTTTTAGAGATTTGGGTATGGAGGAAAAGAGAGAGGGTTGTGTTTTCTGACACTTGGCGAGTTCCCTGACACACCGGGGACACATATTCATGCAGTGCTTGAATTGGGCCGGTACTCACCGGTACGTAGTACCGGCACTTCAGATTTTTACCCATGTGGTTGCCGGTACTCAGTAAGATGCCGGTACTTAGCCGCCGGCATGACGCATGACAACAAATATGCCCAGCGTAGATGCACCTAGATGCGCCATGCGTCATGAGATGCCGCCGGTTGTCGCCGGACAAGGAGCCGACTGCTAATACAGAAATGCTGTACCTGTGTTAGAAATGTTGTCTGACGGGGAGCCTTCTCTGGTCGAGCCTCCTGCTCCAAGTTCTGTAGCACTAGCTCCCACAGAGCCTTCTCTCCCGTCTCTCATTGATTCCCTCTCTCCTTTCCTGCTGAAAGATGAGTGTACTCAGGGACGAGGAGTCATTTAACCAGCCGCCTGTAGGAGTCAGGCTTTACTTCTTTTATATCCATAAAGAAAAAGTAAATCTGTTTACAGTTCTGTTTCATGTGGATGTTGAGAGGTATCCATATATCTCTTAATTTTGCTCTCAAAGTGCACCAGATTGATGCATTTAACTTCAATATTTAAAACAAATCTTCCCGGGGGAGCATGCCCCCGAACCCCCCTAGAGGATGTCAGGTCCACTCCCCACTTATAAATGTAGCACTTTACCACTGCACCCCTCTAATCTCAGATGCACACTGAGTCATTTTGTTTAAGTACAGTGAGCCTTTCTAAAATATACCAGTAAAGAGACAAACCCACCAGCATTAGGATATACTATGACTTTGAGCCAAATACTTGTTTTTGGGCTGTATAAATAAATTGACTTGAAACAGTTGCTGATTTGGCACCTTTTTTTATTCCAATTCAAGCACTTGTATTCATGTATAAAAGACGTTACAAAGTGCATTTTGCAGATAGGTCCCCTTTAAGTATTTATCCCCATAGTTGCTTAGGTTTCTTTTTGTAACCAGATGTCCCTCTGTTGTTCTCGTCTTCTATAACCCTGAACAATGTGTACATATTATCTCAGGCTTTTATTTAAAACTGCAGCTACTTGCACACGTTATATGTTTACATGCTGTTTTTAGTAGTGTGTTTGTTAATTATAGTGTTTTCTAAATAATTCTGTATATTAGGACGTTGTGTAATTTTTATATGTATAAAATATAAGTTTATCTTTTAGTGTGTATATAAATATACTTTATTTTTGTTATTTATTAGTCATGTGCAATGTCGTTTTTTTTTTACTAGATGCTGCAACGAAAAAGTTTCCCAATTTGGAATTAATAAGTAATCTAATCTAAGTTTAAAATGGTTGTTGTTAGTTTGACAACATGAGGTTGTTTGTCTTCACTGTTTTCATATTGAGATGTCTACCCCTGAACAGCGCTGAAACAAAACTGAAGGGGGTTCAGTTCACAGAAATTAGCTGCAGTTTAAAGAGTCCCTCTGTGTCTCCTCCATCAGAGAACATAGCTGCAGTTTAAAGAGTCCCTCTGTGTCTCTTCCACAGGAACGTAGCTGCAGTTTAAAGAGTCCCTCTGTATCTCCTCCACAGGAACATAGCTGCAGTTTAAAGAGTCCCTCAGTGTCTCCTCCACAGGAACATAGCTGCAGTTTAAAGAGTCCCTCTGTATCTCCTCCACAGGAACATAGCTGCAGTTTAAAGAGTCCCTCTGTGTCTCCTCCACAGGAACATAGCTGCAGTTTAAAGAGTCCCTCTGTGTCTCCTCCACAGGAACATAGCTGCAGTTTAAAGAGTACCTCTGTGTCTCCTCCACAGGACCATAGCTGTAGTTTAAAGAGTCCCTCTGTGTCTCCTCCACAGGAACATAGCTGCAGTTTAAAGAGTACCTCTGTGTCTCCTCCACAGGAACATAGCTGTAGTTTAAAGAGTCCCTCTGTGTCTCCTCCACAGGAACATAGCTGCAGTTTAAAGAGTCCCTCTGTATCTCCTCCACAGGAACATAGCTGCAGTTTAAAGAGTACCTCTGTGTCTCCTCCACAGGAACATAGCTGTAGTTTAAAGAGTCCCTCTGTGTCTCCTCCACAGGAACATAGCTGCAGTTTAAAGAGTCCCTCTGTATCTCCTCCACAGGAACATAGCTGCAGTTTAAAGAGTCCCTCTGTATCTCCTCCACAGGAACATAGCTGCAGTTTAAAGAGTCCCTCTGTATCTCCTCCACAGGAACGTAGCTGCAGTTTAAAGAGTCCCTCTGTGTTTCCTCCACAGGAACATAGCTGCAGTTTAAAGAGTCCCTCTGTGTCTCCTCCACAGGAACATAGCTGCAGTTTAAAGAGTCCCTCTGTGTCTCCTCCACAGGAACATAGCTGCAGTTTAAAGAGTCCCTCTGTGTCTCCTCCACAGGAACATAGCTGCAGTTTAAAGAGTCCCTCTGTGTCTGCTCCACAGAAACATAGCTGCAGTTTAAAGAGTACCTCTGTGTCTCCTCCACAGGAACATAGCTGCAGTTTAAAGAGTCCCTGTTTCTCCTCCACAGGAACATTTGTAGTGAATGTGACTCAGACTTCCTATCAGGCAGAGGAGAACCAGAACATCACCCTGGAGTGGACCTTCAGCACCAGAACAGAAACTTCCCTCAGATCCATCTCTACCATCTGTCAGCTGTTAACTGAGACCAGACTCTACGTCCTGTTTCATCTAAATGAAGGCGTTGAATCCCCAGAGTCTCAGGATCCACAGTTTGCAGGACGAGTCCAGTGGGACAAAGACGTCCTCACAGAAGGACGCCTCACACTTCATGTCTCCAGACTCAGGACCAGTGACTCTGGGTTTTATGTGTGTGCCATACTCGTCAGACCTGATGGGACTAACTCTAGGAGATGCTGGCTCAACGTCACTGGTGAGTAACCCCCATTCATCTTTGTTATAATGTTAAACTCTCAGGGTGAGAACCTGAGAAATGTTGTAGATGTTTAGTTTTCTTTTTCAGGGAAATGTTTTTAAAACAGAGTTGTTTGGTGTTTTCACAGCAGCGACACATTGGAACAAACCTGAGACCCCCAACACAGGAAGAAGAGGAAGGATTGGCCTCTACTTTGTGTTAGCACTATTTGCTCTGTGTGGCTGTGTGCTTCTTAACTTCAGACGACAACCAGCCAGTGAAGAAGGTTCAGACTCAGGGACAGGTAACAGTTCAGCAGGTGGACCAATAGAAACAGTTTGACACTATCTGTTACATTAATGCTCATCTATAGACATTTTCACACTCCTGCACAATACTGACTCTTTAGATCTGCAGCGCTCTGACACTTTACTTCAGGTATACTGTACATCTTATCTTTCTTTCGTTGAGAGATAAACTAAAATGACCAAATGTGATTTCTGAGAGAATCTGTACCAACCAAAATTATTTATAATGTGATTTATTTATAGGCTGGAATCTCTGCTGCATTCTGACACATATTTAACAAATATTGCACCTCCTTTGATTTGGATAAGTCCATATTGCAGTTGTGTTGGATTGATCAGCCTTAGCCTCCATATGTATGTTTGTATAACGCTGTAGCTGTGAGGTCTAGAATCTATAAACAGCATTTGTTACGTTATACAGTATTTATCATTTACTGTAATCTTTCCTATCGGAGTTGCTCTCGGTCTCCGTTACGTTGCTTCAGTCCTGATGAAATATTTGTTCTGTTTTCTTGCACTTTGTATTGAAGTTAGACACCGTGACATGTTTTGCATAGTAAATATGTGAAGTTGTAGAAGAATGAGACAAAGAAATGTTGTTTTTAATAAGCTTTATTAGACGTCTGCAGGCAGACCTACCTGATGTTGTTTTCATTCTGAATGCCTATTTGTTTATTGTGAGATGTTTGAAAGCCATGTTGTTTTGTACATTTACAAATAAATATTTTGAATGTAGAGTGGTGTAATGTAACTTAGAACATAATAAGTACTGTACTTAAGTAAGAAATGTAGGTACTTGTACTTTGAGCATTTTCACATTATGCTATTTTATACTTTTACTCCACTACATTAATGTATCAGGCTCTAGAACAAATCGAATGGGGGGGCAATCATTTACCACGGGGGTCACAAACTGCCGTCAACAACCACAACACAAATACCAAGGCAACTTCCATTTCAAAACATGCTGTGAAGTCTCTGGTATTTCACACACAGCCTGTAATGGTTTGTTTGTAGTAATCCAGCAGACCATGCAGAATCAATGAGAGCAGCAGCTACAACATATGTACATTTATTTGATTTAATCAGGAAAAAACATGACAGGATTCCTCAAAATGAACTTACATTCTCACTGGATATACAAGTAAAAAACATTTTAAACATCACATTACATTCATGAAGGATTTATTTATCATTTATTTCAGATCTGTAGATGTTTCTGCTGATGCTTCTCTGTTGTTGTCGTTCTGCACCTGTCCACCAGGTGTCCTCGTTTCACATCCTGCAGTGGAGACAGTGATTGAACACTTTGTAATAATACCTGTCTCTACTGTGAAACTCACACTGCCTCAACAAACACGTGTTTCCAGTTCAATCTGCACCTTAGTCTCTATCTGTCTGTTCATATCTCACTTAAAGCTGAAACTCCTAATGTATGAAAGAAGTGAAACATGTAAAGGTTTGAGTGGAGTATCAATCAGAAGATCAAAGTTGAGTTCATTTCTGAAATCTCTGCTATTAATGAATATAGGAGTCAATGGGGCCGTTGGTTGGTACTCCTGTTACTGCGAGGCTCACAGCTCTGCATGTGTACGTCCCTTTGATTCCACAGAGCCATTGTTGGAGAGAGGACACCTTTTTATACGTTCTTCAGTAAAATGATGTACAAAAACTAACAAATGTGGAAGTTAGAGCAAATTAAAAATAAATGTGTAAGGCTATTTTCCAACCGCTCCACTCTGAACATTCAGCGCAATACACACCAATGTTAAAATCTGAAATGTGGCCTTTTTACTAAGAGTCAAACCAGGCTGAATATTTTGAGAAGCTTTAATGGGATTTGAATATTGTTTAAAAGTCAGAAGGTATGAAAGATGTGGAACGTTTTGAAGCCAGACTGGAGTCTCTACTTGAATGTATGAATGAGTAAAGAACAGCTGAAGATGGATCAAAAACGGTGAAATCGAGTCAGATTCGAACATTCCGTCCATTCATCTCAATGGAAAATGTTCTGAGAAAATATTGAGTATTTCAGAATTTTATGAAAGGTTTGAATTACAAAAGTAGTGAATGTTTAGATGTTTGAATGAAGTCTTACATTGAAAAATAAAAGCATATAACAGGATTAATGACTAGAAAAGCTTCATATATTATGGGATGTGGTCAATAGTACCTCCACAGAAAAGAAAAGAAATCTCAAAATAATGGAAACAAAAACTGCTTTTTATTTATTACAGAACGGGTTGTAACAGATTAAACGCAGTGGGGCTGAAATCCACACACACACACACACACACACACACACACACACACACACACACACACACACACACACACACACACACACACACACACACACACACACACACACACACACACAGTAATGCATCCTTTACTCCACCTTTAGAAACCCGTATGCATACATCGTCCAACAAAAATAGCAAAGTAACATTAGTATTTAACTCAAAATGAATATGTACATACATTTCATATCATTTAGCTGATGCTTTTGTCCAAAGCGACTTCCAATAAGTGCAAAAACCATAAAGAATCAAACTCCGAACAACAAGGAAAGTGCAGATATATTCACTTCAAGCAACAACATACCATAGGAAGTGCTGGTGAATCAGATGCAAGGCCTAAATTAACTCAACAAGCGCTTAGTTTTTTTTGGTTTAACAATCACATTCTCAGAAAATTCAGCTGCTACTGTACTAAACAAAAGAAAACATATATGTCTCTTCAAAATAAGCAGTAATGCACCAAATACAAAAACCCTGTTCTGCTCTGCACTGCAGAGACTTTACAAACCACATTTTGGATAACGGAGGGGAAAAAAAGTAATGTTTTTCTACTTTAACATATATTTATATAACTTCAGCTGCAATTCAGCAACACTTGAATTTCTTCGACTCCTACTAACTAGATGTAATGTTACTACATTCATTTCTTCCTACAAAGCATGTGTTGAAAATATACAATCAGCACGGATAAATCCAGTCAAGGATCAATTAGTTAAAACATGGTGGATACATCTGAATCATTTCCAGTGATCTTTTAAAGTGTCTTTCAAGTTTGTGTAGTGCTCACAGAATGTAATGTGATTACAGCAAACAGTGAATACATCAATAAACACTACGTATTACGCTTTGTGGTTCTTTTCATAATAGCTTCTGCATACAAATATACATTCTTCCATCATCAGTAGTTTTCTGACAGTTAGATCAGAAGATGATGAGAACCTTGAACTTTTCTTGTTTTATAACATTATGCTCCAACGATTCATTTGAAGAGGGTTTCAGACTCTTTGGGTTTGTTTCTCTGAGGAACTCATCGTCTGGAATCTACATTGAACTTTTTTCCTATAAGGAGATTTAGTAAGCCGAGCGTTGAGGACAAAGATAGCAGCAAAGAGAGACAGTAGAAATGCTGTAACTGGCAGTCCAACATAGATCCAGAAGTTTCTCCAGCTCTCTGGTTGTGGACTCTCTGTTGGTCTCTGAGTTTGGAGCTCAGCAGCAGCTGTAGAAAAGACACAGTTAGTAACATCATGTTGACATGGAGAAAACCTCTTTCCAGTGAAAATAAAGAGTTTATATAATACTTTTCTCCATCAGAGGTTGCAATGACCTTGCATCTTTATTTAACCTTAGAATAGACAATAGAGCTACTAGGATCTGCACATTAAAGAACCAAAGTTTTAATTGAACTTCCTGACTTCTACTGAGGTTACTCACCAGTGACGCTGAGCCAGCATCTCCTAGAGTTAATCCCATCAGGTCTGACGAGTATGGCACAAACATAAAACCCAGAGTCACTGGTCCTGAGTCTGGAGACATGAAGTGTGAGGCGTCCTTCTGTGAGGACGTCTTTGTCCCACTGGACTCGTCCTGCAAACTCTGGATCCTGAGACTCTGGGGATTCAACACCTCCAAGGAGATGAAACAGGAGGTAGGGTCTGCCATCAGTTAACAGCTGACAGATGGTAGAAATGGATCTGAGGGAAGTGTCTCTTCTGGAGCTGAAGGTCCACTCCAGGGTGATGTCCTGGTTCTCCTCTGCCTGATAGGAAGTCTGAGTCACATTCACTACAAATGTTCCTGTGGAGGAGACACAGAGGGACTCTTTAAACTGCAGCTATGTTTCTGTGGAGGAGACACAGAGGGACTCTTTAAACTGCAGCTATGTTTCTGTGGAGGAGACACAGAGGGACTCTTTAAACTGCAGCTATGTTCCTGTGGAGGAGACACAGAGGGACTCTTTAAACTGCAGCTATGTTCCTGTGGAGGAGACACAGAGGGACTCTTTAAACTGCAGCTATGTTCCTGTGGAGGAGACACAGAGGGACTCTTTAAACTGCAGCTATGTTTCTGTGGAGGAGACACAGAGGGACTCTTTAAACTGCAGCTATGTTCCTGTGGAGGAGACACAGGGACTCTTTAAACTGCAGCTATGTTCCTGTGGAGGAGACACAGAGGGACTCTTTAAACTGCAGCTATGTTCCTGTGGAGGAGGACAGCTTTAAAGAGACAAACTAACCAGAGACACAGGAGGTGAGGAAGAGGAGCAGCAGGATGAGGAAGATCATCTTCTTCCTGTGAGAGGACACACACACACACACACACACACACACACACACACACACACACACACACACACACATCATTCTATCTTTACCACATTACTTATTACACAGAGGACTGACACCAGGAACAGTAACAAAGGGCCCTCAAGTCCCATCTGTTTGCAAAGGCCCCTAATCGATCTGTTGTTGTGTCTGTCTGACTTTTGTTTTGTTATGTTTGTTCTTGCCCTATTACTTGTAAAGCGACCTTGGGTCCCTTGAAAGGCGCTATATAAATCGAAGCTATTATTATTATTATTATTATTATATGTCTGACACTAGGTGGCGCCAAATATCAACATTATATTTTATTTGAACTGAACCGGGAGATATTTCTGCTTTGAGATCAGACAACACAGCCGGCAGCTTTTGCATTAATGCAGAGTATAATAATATAGTTTTTAGTATTGCTGTGTGTGAGAGAGCTTTGTTCTGTCTCTACTTTCTGCACTATGATAACATTTCATACATCATCATGTTTTTCTGTATCAAAAATGCCCGTGAATGTTAAAACTCATGACCAGTTACAATATAAACAATGCGTCTATGTTTAACAGCCATGTTGTCACTGTTCCTCTTGACTGTGTTTGGTGTAAATAAAGTGGCAAACCGAGTCCAGTCTGCAGTATAGCTTCATATCAGCATCTCTAGAAAAAATAATAAAAACTGAAACTAAAATATGAAGTGGCATGTCTTTTTTGTAAACCTCTTATCATTTAAAAAAGAAATATATATAGGCCTATATATATTTCTTTTTTAAATGATATATATATATAGGATCACATATACCAATATCTAGTGTAGACGTGTTAATTAGTTTTGAACAGTACGTTCACAGGGACTGTAGAAAAAGCTGCATTTCATAAACGGGAGATTGTAATCGGTCCAGACTGAGACTTCCCGCATGACATTGAGGGTTATTATTTATTTCATTATAAATTATGTTATCCCATTATGTGTGTTATAACCAAACACCTTGATGTGTGAGGACATTTTGAACTGAATAGTGTGTTACTTTCACTTTCGACGTCCCCTTCTGTCTCACATACGATAAGACTGTTTTCCCAGCAGACACTACGCGCAGTTGTAGTAAAAAGCAGGCTTGGTTCCATCATGTATGAGTCAATATCTTGTATCATGTATCTTGAGGTATGTTGTGTGCTTGTTGTGTGTGAGTGTTTAAACTCGAGTGTAACAGGAATCAGAAAAAGGAATCAGCAGCGCGAGACATTTCCTCTCTAAAGAAAAAGGTGTGTTCTTCTTACCTTGAAACCTTTGGAAACTGTAGAGAAGTCACTGGACCGATTTTTTTCCACTGGTTAATTATTACCTACAGATGTAGTCACAAAAGTCCGTTATAACTTCGTGAAATGGAGAATGGACCGTCACCACCTTCACCCGTGTTGTCCTACCACGTGATTTATATCCTTATTTCTGATTGGCAAGTATACGTTTTGGGTTTTTCCTATGCGCTAACAAAACATAGAAATAACGGTGACACTGCCTCAACAAACACGTTTTCCAATTCAATCTGAACCTTAGTCTCTATCTGTCTGTTAATATAAAACGTACAGCTGTATAAAACTCCTAATGTATGAAAGGTGTGAAACATTTAAAGGTTTGAGTGGAGTCAGAGCCGGCCCTAGACATTTTGGTGCCCTCGGCGAGATTATGATTTGGTGCCCCCCCCCCCCCCCCCCTCCCAGCAATACACAATAGAATATATAAAGAATAAATGAAAAATCTCTACAAAAGACCAAAACACTACAAAAAATGAAACGTATTGACATGTTGGTTATATACATAAAGAAGGTTTCAAATGTATTCATTAATGTATGAACATGTTTTAATTTGCGGGTGGACGTCACATCCTCTAGGGGGGTCCGGGGGTATGCCCCCCCGGAAAGATTTGTTTTAACATTTTTAAGTAAAATGCTTCAATCTGGTGCACTTTGAGCAGAATTACTAGAGACTAGATCTAGGGGTACAACTCTAAAACACCCATATGAAAAAGATCGGTTTACATTTTAATAACCAAATAAGTATGTGAACATAACCAATAACCCATAGCCAATAACAAATACATGTAACTTATTTTATTTTTGTTGTTCATTCATATCTTATTTTACCTAGTTAACATTTATTTATTCATGCATATTTTTTAATATCTCCAGTTTTAAACGATATTTTTGGTTTACTGTCCTATAGGATACATTGAAATGATTTCAAACCTGTTTCTTTTTTTATCCCAAAAATTATAAAGGTGTGCCTTGGAAATATTTGTTTACATAAATTGTGACCAAACCTTTTGAGACCCACTGAGATAACTTAGACTAAAGTGAACTATCTAAACACTCAAGAGTCCTTTACCTCACTGAGCTGTAGTTATCAGCCTCAATCCAACAACAATCCGCTCGGAGGCTCGCTCGCACTTTGGCTGTGAGCTGCGGGCGTCAGATAAGTCAACATCCCCCACTTTCATCACTTACAGCGCACATCGTACAGGGCAAATGCAAAATGTTGCCGGCCCGGGGTGCAAATGGTGTTTACTTTATTAAATTATTAATGTAAATGTATTACATCAAGGGCAGAAAATTAGGAAGAATAAAAATTAAAAATTATTATTTATTTATTTATTTATTTTCTCGCAGCGCCCCTCCAGATCTGGCGCCCTAGGGCCGGCTCTGAGTGGAGTATCAATCAGTAGATCAAAGTTGAATTCACTTCTGAAATCTCTGCTATTAATGAATATACGTTAGTTGGTACTCCTGTTACTGCGAGGCTCACAGCTCTGCATGTGTACGTCCCTTTGATTCCACAGACACATTGTTGGAAAGAGGACACCTTTTTATACGTTCTTGGGTAAAAAGAAGTACAAAGAGTAACAATTGTGGAAGTTAGTTTTTATATTATTTATAAAATTTATTTAATTTTTATATTATTTATAAAATTTATTTAATTTTTATATTATTTAATTAATTCCCTTTTTAATTTAATTTAATTGTTATTAATAGTTTATTTCCTAATTAATATAAAATAAAAATAATATTGTAAAAAATATATTACATTTTGATTAAATATGTATTATTTAACAGGGACAGTTTACATAAATAAAAAATATCCAACCATCCTTTTACAGTTTGCATCAACATATAAATACACCAAGAATTAAATTATTTATTGTAATAATTATAACCAGAAACGCTGCACGGCTGAAGGAGGCAGCGATCAGTCTGATGAGGAGCGTGCACGAGGCGGGCGTGCACGTACTGTATGGACTACGTGGGGGTGGACCCCAAAAGGACGAAGGCCCTGAGGAGCACCAGAGAAGCATGACACACACACACACACACACACACACACACACACACACACACACACACACACACACACACACACACACACACACACACACACACACACACACACACACACACACACACACACACACACACACACACACACACACACACACACACACACACACACACACACACACACACACACACACACACACACACACACACACACACACACTTTACTCCACCTTTGGAAACACGTATGCATACACCTTGCAACAACAATAGCAAAAAGTAACATTAATATTTTAACTCAAAATGAATATTATCAGAATCCCTTTATTAGTCCCAGAGAGGGGAAATGTACATTGTTACAAAGACAGCTTAATATGACATACATTAAATATAATTTAGCTGATGCTTGTGTCCAAAGCGACTTCCAATAAGTGCAAAAACCGTAAAGAATCAAACTCCAAACAAGGAAAGTGCAGATATATTCACTTCAAACAAGAACATACCATAGGAAGTGCTGGTGAATCAGATACAAGTCCTACAATAAATCATCAAGTGCTTAGGTTTTTGTTTTGGTTTAACAATCAAATTCAGTGAGAGACATCAGTCTTTATCATCGCTGCTAGTGTACAAAAATAATACAAAAAAACATGTCTCTTGAAGATAAGCATCAACGCACCAAATACAAAAATCCTGACTCTTTACAAACCACATTTTGGATAATGGAGGAAAAAGAAAGTAAACTTTTTCTACACCTGTTCCCACATTAACATATTTTACATAACTTCAGCTGCAATTTAGCTACACTTGAATTCCTTCGACTCCACCTAACTAGATTTAATGCAAACATTCATTTCTTCCTACAAAGCATCTTTTCTTATAACGTAGTTTTCTGAGACTTATCTTAGACGATCTTTGACTGGAATTGTACTGGGAGTAGATTTTTAAGTTGCGTACGACTCCTATACTCCAACCCACAAGCTGACATCCTAACAAATGGACTTGTGTCATCTCCCGTTAAACTCAAGTGAGGAACAAGGCAGTCCCCTCTCTCCTCTCCTATTCACACCGGCCATTGAGCCATAGCTCGCACATGGGAGGAACCATCAACCTGTGGACTTTCTCAACGGCTGAAAGGGAGGACTTTCTACCTTGCTCTTGAAAGGATACGTGTTTTCCTTCAAAACAAACTAGCTGGAAAACCTTGTAGGACTTCCTGGAGCATACTGGTCTACAACATGATGGAGGATGAGGACACTTGAATATCATTTGGGCTGTGTTTCTATTTTCTATTCTTCTTACTTTCTTTTTCTGTTTTGTTAGTTTTGCTGATAGTATGTCAAGTCTGTCTTGTTTATGAAGTGTTATTTCTATGCAGAAAAAGTCTATAAAAACAATAAAAGAGAACAGGAACAAAAAAAAGAACAAACAAAGAAACAAACAAACAATATTAGAAACAAAAGGAGAATAAAAATGTGTTAAAGACAAAGAAACAAAGAAATTAAAAAAAACAAAATAAACAGACAAAGAAAAAGAAAATAAATAAACAATAAAACAATAAATTTTTGAAGAAGAAGGAACATAACAATGAATAAAGAAAAAATAAAGAATTACAAAATAAAAAACATATAACAGTATCAGTCCAACGTAGATCCAGAAGTTTCTCCGTCTCTCTGGTTGTGGACTCTCTGTTGTTCTCTGAGTTTGGAGCTCAGCAGCAGCTGTGGAAAATACACAGTTAGTAACATCATGTAGACATGGAGAAAACCTCTTTTCATACAATTCTGTATCAGATATTTTAATAACCTGCATGTTTATTTACCATTTCACATAGAGCTACCATCTGCATATTTAAAATGTTTTAATTTAAATACTCACCAGTGACGTTGAGCCAGCATCTCCTAGAGTTACTCCCATCAGGTCTGACGAGTATGTCACAAACATAAAACCCAGAGTCACTGGTCCTGAGTTTGGAGACATGAAGTGTGAGGCGTCCTTCTGTGAGGACGTCTTTGTCCCACTGGACTCGTCCTGCAAACTCTGGATCCTGAGACTCTGGGGATTCAACACCTTCACGTAGTTCAAACAGAACTGAGGTTCGGTCATTAGTATACAGGAAACAGATGGTAGAAATGGATCTGAAGTTAGTTTCTCTTCTGGTGCTGAAGGTCCACTCCAGGGTGATGTTCTGGTTCTCCTCTGCCTGATAGGAAGTCTGAGTCACATTCACTACAAATGTTCCTGTGGAGGAGACACAGAGGGACTCTTTAAACTGCAGCTATGTTTCTGTGGAGGAGACACAGAGGGACTCTTTAAACTGCAGCTTGGTTTTTGTGGAGGAGACACAGAGGGACTCTTTAAACTGCAGCTATGTTTCTGTGGAGGAAACACAGAGGGACTCTTTAAACTGCAGCTATGTTCCTGTGGAGGAGACACAGAGGGACTCTTTAAACTGCAGCTATGTTCCTGTGGAGGAGACACAGAGGGACTCTTTAAACTGCAGCTATGTTTCTGTGGAGGAGACACAGAGGGACTCTTTAAACTGCAGCTATGTTCCTGTGGAGGAGACACAGAGGGACACTTTAAACTGCAGCTATGTTCCTGTGGAGGAGACACAGAGGGACTCTTTAAACTGCAGCTATGTTGCTGTGGAAGAGACACAGAGGGACTCTTTAAAACTGCAGCTATGTTCCTGTGGAGGAGACACAGAGGGACTCTTTAAAACTGCAACTAAGTTTCTGTGGAGGAGACACAGAGGGACTCTTTAAACTGCAGCTATGTTTCTGTGGAAGAGACACAGAGGGACTCTTTAAAACTGCAGCTATGTTCCTGTGGAGGAGACACAGAGGGACTCTTTAAAACTGCAACTAAGTTTCTGTGGAGGAGACACAGAGGGACTCTTTAAACTGCAGCTATGTTTCTGTAGAGGAGACATAGCGGGACTCTTTAAACTGCAGCTTGGTTTTTGTGGAGGAGACACAGAGGGACTCTTTAAACTGCAGCTATGTTTCTGTGGAGGAAACACAGAGGGACTCTTTAAACTGCAGCTATGTTCCTGTGGAGGAGACACAGAGGGACTCTTTAAACTGCAGCTATGTTTCTTGTGGAGGAGACACAGAGGGACTCTTTAAACTGCAGCTATGTTCTTGTGGAGGAGACACAGAGGGACTCTTTAAACTGCAGCTATGTTCTTGTGGAGGTGTCACAGAGGGACTCTTTAAACTGCAGCTATGTTTCTGTGCTGCTTTACTGAGAACAGCTTTAAAGAGACTAACTGAAGCTAACCAGAGACAGAGGTCTCCTCAGGTGAGGAAGAGTATTAGGGTATGAGGGGAATAAAGAAGAAAAGGACTATTTTACTTTTTTATTTAGCATGTTAAGAAAAAAGCCAAAATGTTGAGTAAAATATCAATCTTTCAATTTGAGTGCAGTTATTAGGAAAAATGTATCAGAAAAAACAGTTAGGCGCTTTAAAAGTTTAATTATTGAGAATAAACATTGAACTTTAAAGAATAAATTACTTGTAATAAACTACTTTTGTTGGAGAATATACTGAAAGCTCCACTTCTTGACATTTTAAAAAAGCTAAATCAAATCAGAATCCCCCTCCTCAGTTTTGACCCTCTTGCCTTGCACTAATAGTGTTCCATACCAAAGAGCTCTAAGATGCTTCTTTGTGAAAAGGTAAAACGTGACACAAAAGATTTTTCAATAATATTCATTCTGTCTGAGTGGGAAATAAAGGAGTAAACTAACCAGAGACACAGGGGGTGAGGAAGAGGAGCAGCAGGATGAGGAAGATCATCTTCTCCCTGTGAGCGCACACACACACACACACACACACACACACACACACACACACACACACACACACACACACACACACACACACACACACACACACACACACACACACACACACACACACACACACACACAACACACACACACACACACACACACACACACACACACACACACACACACACACACACACACACACACACACACACACACACACACACACACACACACACACACACACACACACACACACACACACACAGTCTGTCTTTACCACATTACTTAGTACACAGAGGACTGACACCAGGAACAGTAACATATGTCTGTCACTAGGTGGCGCCAGATATCAACATTATATTTTCTTTAAACTGAATCAGGAAATACTTTCTGCTTTGAGATCAGTGAACACAGACTGAAACAGAGGACCCACTGAACCCCTTCAGTTTTGTTTCAGAATCTCTCTGAACAATAACAGTAATACAAATAATGAGGGCCCGAGCATGTAGCGCTAGGACCCAACCTATTCTTCAACATTCTTCAACAGGTCCCTGCTGCAGTCTGTAGTCCCCACATGTCTTAAACACTCCACCATCATTCCTGTCCCCAAAAAGACAATCATCACCTGCCCCAACGACTACCGCCCAGTAGCACTCACCTCCATCATAATGAAGTGCTTTGAGCGGTTAGTCAAATTATTCATCACCTCCTCCCTCCCTGAATCTCTGGACCCCCTGCAGTTTGCCTACAGAGCAAACAGGTCCACAGACGACGCCATAGCCCTCACCCTCCACACTGCCCTCTCACACCTGGACCCGAAGAAGAGGAACACATATGTGAGAATGCTGTTCATTGACTACAGTTCAGCATTCAACACCATTGTGCCCTCCAAGCTGGCCATCAAGCTCAGAGACCTCGGACTCAACAGCGCCCTCTGCGACTGGATCCTGAACTTCCTGACGGGCAGACCCCAGGCAGTGCGGGTGGGAAATATCACATCCTCCACCCTGATTCTCAACACCGGTGCCCCTCAAGGCTGCGTGCTCAGCCCTCTCCTCTACTCCCTGTTCACCCACGACTGCGTGGCCACACACAGCTCCAACACCATCGTGAAGTTTGCTGATGACACGACCGTCATCGGCCAGATCACAGACGATGACGAGACGGCATACAGAGAGGAGGTCGAAAACCTGACATCTTGGTGCCAGGAGAACAACCTCCATCTCAACATCAGCAAAACAAAGGAGCTGATTGTGGACTACAGGAAGCAGCAGGGAGAGGGACATGCCCCCATCGCCATCAATGGGACTACGGTGGAGAGAGTCAAAAGCTTCAGGTTCCTTGGGGTCCACATCACTGAGGACCTGACATGGTCTCTTCACACCACCACCATCACTAAGAAAGCTCGACAGCGGCTCTTCTTCCTCCGCAGGTTGAGGAGGTTCAAAATGGATTCCAGGATACTCTGCAACTTCTACAGGTGCACGATAGAGAGTATCCTCACTGGCAGCATGACGGCCTGGTACGGCAGCTGCACCGACCTCGATCGTAAGGCTTTACAGAGGGTGGTGAAAACTGCACAGCACATCACCAGGACGGAGCTGCCATCCATGGAGGACCTTTACTCCCAGCGGCTCAGGAAGAAATCACTACGGATTATCAAAGACCCCCATCACCCCAGCCACAAACTGTTCTTTCTGTTGCCGTCTGGCAGACTTTACCGCAGCATCCTGGCAAGGACAAGAAGATTCGGAGACAGTTTCTTCCCGCGGGCAGTGAGACTGTTAAAAAATTGAACTGTCGAAACAACTTCAAACATTCAACTGCTACTCAGTAGTATGTATCTAATACCTAATATATATATATCATTCCAATAACTTGTATATAGACTCATACTGCACTATTCCACATCATAACTTTATTTCATTTTTATAACTATTATTATTTTTGTATTGCTCTTGCTCTTATTGTTATTATGTTATGTTATTATGTTGCATTGTTGGAGAAGCCTGTGACATAAGATTTTCAACTGCATAATTACTCTGTAGCTATGTCAGATTGACAATAAAGAACCTTGAACCTTGAACCTTGATTGTCATTATTGTTATTATAATAGTGAATGTGTGCTTCCTGTGGAGAAAGAGACAGCTTTTGCATTCAGAAAAATTATAGTATAGTATAAGTGGCATGTCTTGTTTTATAAACCTCTTCTCATATTTTAAAATGTTAATTAAAAATGCTATTCGTGCTCATGATATAAAAATAGGAACCAATGTTTGCTTAAATTATAATAATATAATGTAACCTTTAAGTTACTTACATTTGTATGAATATATTCAATGCGCATATTATTCTTCAAACTGTAAACTGTTTAACTAAAATAGACAATTAATATAGTTGTATGTGAATAACCTGAAAATGAAGTAGTATTTGTATGTACATTTCTTATGATCACATACCGGTGTCTGTGTGTAGCAGAGTGTAGACGTGTTTATTAGTTGTGTGCACTTTGTTTACAGAAACGGCAGCAAAAGCAGATTAAACCGGGGGATTTGGAAAGAGCTTAATTTAAAAAAAAGCGAAATCTGGTAATATACGTTAGTCACAAAGTTAGGACATTGCTGTTTCTGGCAGAGACAGATGTTATCCTTCCTGCTGTAGGTACACGGTCGGAGTGTCTCCGGGAGGATTTGGTCATTTGAGCCGCCCACATGAATCTGAAATCTCTTTCCCTCACGAAGCACACATCCAAGTTTCTAGTTGTTTATCCACCAACAGAAAAAGGTCACCCTTGATTTGTAAAGTCCTTTTTGGCATTTAAATGTATAACAAAGCGTTAATTAAATATGTTTGAATTGATCTTTTGTGTCTCATGCGATTCAGACATTAGGCAGAGCTCGTTCTCTTTCTTTCAGGAGTGAATCAGAGGCACAGTTTGAGTTTGAACAAGGTTTCTGAGTCAATATCTTTCCAACTCGTTCTCTTATTTTAGTTTAATGTGGTGCCTGCTCTCTATAAGAGGTTCAACAGGAGAGCAACAGGAAGCAGCTGTAAGAGACATTTAATTAATAAAGTAGAAACATGTGTTCTTACCTGTAAATATTTGAGACTGTAGAGACCTCAGTGCTGACAGCTCTGTCTTCTAGATATCATGGTGAATGTGTCCGATGAAGCTAGTTGGTGTTTCAACGAGGCTGTCTTGATGCAGAATCAGAGAAGGGGAGTTTCTGCTGTCGGTTTTGTTACGACGCTGAAGTTGGCTTCCGATTCAGAGCTTCGGATTCGGCAGTTAAGGGGAAGGTTAAGGGACATTTAATTTACAGCGCTGAGCGAACAATCCTCCGTGTTTGAACCTCTTGAATCGCTGCATTGCCGATTTATTTGGACTGGATTATCCCAAAGAGGCTAAACATTCTTTATAACACAGTTTTAGATTTGTG